TCGATCTCGTCATCCATGGCTTTTCTCCACTTATCTTCTTGAGCAGCTTCTTCATAGCTGACCGGATCACATTCTGCAAACAAGCAGAATAGTGTGTAGTCATCCATCATCTCGACAGGCTCTGTATCGTCGTACAGATCTCTTAGGCTTCTCATCCTCCTTGTTGCTCCCCCTGAAGAGCTTCCTTCACTTGAGCTGGATGATGTCGGCGTTGATGTTGGGGTTGATGGAGCTGGACTATTAGGTGGACTTTGTTCTGGTCTTCCAACCTCCTGCAAGTCATCATCATTATCTTCAAAGAACATACCTTTAATATTTTTATCTTCATCGGTCCATTTCCAATAATCTTCTTCATCGAACTCCACGTCTCTTGAAATGATCATCTTCTTTGTAACTGGATTGTAGAGCTTGTATGCTTTTGTCCTCCTCTCGTACCCAACGAATATGCACTTTTCTCCTCGATCGTCCAACTTCTTTCTTTTCTGCTCCGGGATGTGTGCATATGCAATACACCCAAACACCTTCAGGTGGTTGACACTTGGCTTGATGTTGCTCCACATCTCCAATGGTGTCTTGAACTTGACGCTCTTTGTCGGACATCTGTTGAGGAGGTAAACTGCACAGTCCACGGCTTCAGCCCAGTAAGTCTTTGGCAGGTACTTGCTCTTCAACATGCTTCTGACCATATCAAGAATGGTACGATTCTTCCGCTCTGCTATGCCATTCTGCTGTGGTGTGTAGGCGGCAGTGAGTTGATGAATTATCCCGTACTGCTTGTTGAAATTGTTGAATGCCTTCGAAGTGTATTCTCCACCTCGATCTGATCGGAGCACTTTGATGTGGTACCCACTTTGCTTTTCTACCATCTCCTTGAATTCTTTGAATTTCTCCAGAGCTTCGGATTTCTCCTTCAGGAAATAAACCCAAGTTTTTCTGCTATAATCATCAATAAATGTGAGAAAATACCTGTTTCCTCCAAGAGAGATGACTTCAAATGGTCCTGCAATATCTGTGTGGACCAATTGTAGCAACTCTGTTGCTCTTCTTGACTTTCCAACTTCGAAACTTCTTCTATGTTGTTTGCCCTTCATACAGCCTTCACATAGCTGGTTCGGATGGTTGATTTGCGGCAATCCTTTTACCATTTTCTCCTTCCATAGAAGATTCAGGCCACTGAAAGCGAGATGCCCGAATCGTAGATGCCAGAGCCAAGTCTCGTCTTTTATGATTGACTTCAAGCACTTGACAGGGTCAGCATGAATATTTAAGGTAAACAGTCTATTTCTAGACATGTTCACCTTTGCAATAACTTCATTTTTATTTTTAATAGTGAGGGCAAGGTCTTTTAGATGTATATCATAGCCTCTTTCAAGGAGCTGGCCTAGGCTCAAAATATTATTTCGTAATGCTGGAACATAGTAGACATCAGAGATGTACCTGTTCTCGCCCGTCTTTGTCTGGATCATTATATTTCCCTTGCCTTTTACTGGAATCTTTGACTGATCTCCAAAAGTGACATCTCCTTGTACCATCTCGTTCAGCTCGGTAAAGAACTCCTTGATGCCGCACATGTGGTTACTGGCACCTGAATCTAGATACCAGATATCTTTATTCTTGCTTTCGCTCTCCTGGTACGTCAACAGGACTGTTGAAGTGTCTGCCTGCTCCCTTTCTACAAAGTTGCTTCTTTCTGCCACTTGATTTGATTTCTCCCAACATTCGTAGCTGAGATGACCGTATCTCTTACATTTGTAACACTGTGGCTGAGATCTGTCCTCATGGTAACTTCTTCCTTGTCCTCGTCCTCGTGTGCCACGACCTCGTCCTCGATCGAATGATCGTTCACGATCTCTATTTCGATCTTGATTTTCATGGCCTCCTTGGTACTGTCTCCTACGACCTTGCTGGAAGTTTGAGCCACCTCGAAATGAGCCTCTGCCTCTGTAGCCTCCACGTCCTCTTCGACTATCTTCTTTGATAGTCATCTTACTCTGCAAGGCTTGTTCTAGATTCTCCGCTTGATTTGAACTAATGTTTATATCTTGTTCATAAGCTTGCAGAGAACCTTGCAGCTCATCAATAGATACTTCGGAAAGATCTTTAGACTCTTGTATTGCCGGAATAATATATTTGAATTTAGAGTCTAAAGTCCTAAGTATCTTCTCCATAATTCTTACATCATTAATTGCTTCTCCATTTCTCTTCATTTGATTTGTTATTGTCTGAACTCTACTAAAATAATCCGATATTGATTCTGTAGCTTTCATCTTCAAATTTTCAAATTCAACTCTTAATGCTTGGAGGCGTACCTTTTTGGCTCTTTCCGCACCTTGATAGGATTTTTGTAAAATCTCCCATGCTTCTTTAGAGGACAGGGCATTGGAAATCTTCTCAAACGCAGATTCATCTACGCCTTGGAATATTAGGAACAAAGCTTTTTTGTCTCTTTTTCTGACCTCCTTCAACTCACTCTTCTGAGTGGCGGTGAGAGTTGCTTCTGCTGCAGGTGACTCCGGTTCAGTGTAGCCATTCTCTACGAGATCCCACAAGTCTTGCGAGCCGAGCAAGACTTTCATCTGGATACTCCAGTTGTCGTAATTGGTCTTCATCAGCTTCGGAATCTGTGGCTGGATCATGTTCGCCATCTCGTACACGAGCACCTTCGATTGGCCCGGCTAGATCGAACTTTGCTCTGATACCACTTTGATGGAATTTGAAGAACACAACACTCTACACAAAGGAACTCTCATTCAAATAGTTGCATATCCTCCTGCACCCCTCAACCCATATGAATGTGGTCCCCCATTTAAATGAGTGGAGGGGATTATGTCACCTCACTACCAAGCATAAAATTTGTACTTGGTACCAAGCATACCCATATTTCTTATATATATGAAATTGATAAGATAGAGAAAGTAGAAGTTATAACTCCAAATACACAACGCCAATTGGTCTGATCTCCACTCTTTTAGAAGGCTATATACAATTTCGCTATATATTCAGTCAGCAGGTTCCTAATTAAGTTTGAAATTAGTTTCTTATGATTTGTCTAATAATAAAGGAAAATGCCACGCTGAAGAGTGTTCATACCTACGAAAACGTACTATATATAGGGGACCAGTTATGTATAGCTAGATTGTGTACTTGCGAGTTTGTAAATGTCTTCACGTCCAAAGCATGCAAATATGTAACATCCTGAGATTGTTACAGGTTTCAATAACTCAGTTAACATAAGAAGAAAAAAGCTCAGTGAAGTACTGAAAGATTCTCCATATTTATGAGACCCTATACGTGATATATATAATTAATCTCTTGCAGAATTTAAACATAAACTCAGTTCTAATAGATGTACGGGCTTATAGAAGAAGATAAATTAAACATTGACAAAAAAACTGGAACTTTTTTTTAAAGCCTGCATGATGAGTTACTTAATTTAAAATCATTACGTTATGAGATAAGGAAACGAAGTGAAAAATTAGTACGTAGTAGTTCTCAATTATTAATCTAATCAGATTAATAATACTATGTCGTTATGTATGCATTTAAATTACGTAACACATCTAGGTATTAGGACGAGCTGATTAAATACAAAAAATTCTTTTAAAAAAACATAATCATGGTTGTACTAGTAATTGCTAAACAGAGCTTTAACAACATTATTAATTAATAAATTTATGCTAGTTAATTTCAGAAAACAAAATACAACAAAATCAAGATTTGTAGGATGTGCACTAGCCTATCATATTCTCATGCAAGGCTTGCATTCATTTGCTCTTTTCTAAGTTCATATCACATGCGAAAAACTTATATATGCTAGCTCGCAGTACGCAAATGTCTAACTAGCTATAGTCATTGACATCTTACCATAACAAAATAAACAATTTTTTCAGACCAAAGATAAATATATGAATTGGAGATCATATCAACAGTCTTGATAAAGCCTTAATATATACATATATGGTTTAATTTCTCACAATTCTTACTGCATGCATGCATCACAATATTCACACTACAAATGACTATAAAATGCTCTGAATGATCAGTTTCTGACCAGTAGTCAATGAGATAGAAAAACAAACATGGTGTTTTTGTTTTTGTTTTTTAATAGATTTGTAATGCTAAACTTTAAATTCTTGTGTGCATTTTTGCTTGTTCTGTTAGTTGTTGCACTAAGTGGTTTATACATGATATGATGGTCAGGACTTAAGAGCTGCAGTTAGATAAGAAGGAAAGTTGTTATGAGACCTGATCTCATTGGGTTGAGCAGATAACATAACATAGTGAAGGATCCACAAATTAAATTCTAGCTAGCCCTAGAATTATTCTAAAATTTTAACCTAGCTAACTGTAGTTAAGTTGCAGCATGTGTTTCAGTGCTTGTGAACCTAATATATGTAGAATGATCATGAAACATATTGAGGAATCGTAATATTGATATATTATTTATGAGGGTATTTCTTCTGTAGTTTCTAGCTCATGTATATATTAATGAGCTGATTGATGGTTATCAACTTGAAACTCACAATTAATATCAAAAAGGAAGAAATTAAAGAGTTAATGTTCCTCAAGATCTCTTAGTCCACATATCTCAAGATATTATCTAATGAAAGAGCATAGACTTCTTGTTTCTTTTGAGGGAAGAGAAGTATGGGTATATATTGTCTATAGCTGAGTAGTTATAACTGGTAGAAACTAATAAGATGAACATGATTTGTACGCTTTAATATTTTCACCCTAAGTTAGTTGGTATAATCAATATATATAACGTAATCAAGAAACAAAGCTTCTTCTCAACAAGGTCTGATTTTTTTTAAACCACTGAAAAGCTCAAAATCATTCTGATTATTTACCATATAGATATAGTTATCATCATTCAATACCAAATTAATATCCACAAATTGGCCAAGAACTAAAACCATGCATATATATAGTTAATTAACACAAAGTTAAACATATGTCAACACACAAAATACTATAAGAAGCAATCAAACTTACGACCCTCAGAGAAATTCTCTAAGCCTCATCGAATCGTGAATATTGGACCTCTCGGGCCCTAACCGGAGCTCAAGGTCCAATTCCTCCACCACCGGCACAGGACCACTCGAAGCCCGATCGTCGACACTTTGACTGCTCGGCCTCTCAACGAACAAAGCCAGCTCTTTGATACACATCGGAACATAGTCCATGAGGGCGAGTGGGGCCTTGTTAATGGGCTTATTGGGCCTGGCCCGATCTTTGCGGTGTATGTTCATGTGGCCGCCGAGGGCCTGAGCGTTGGAGAATCCTCTCTTGCAGAAGATACAATCATAGGATTTCGTTACAGCGGCTTTGAGAGGAGAAGTACTGTTTTGGTTTTCTTGATTGCTAGCCTGATCTGCAGTCTCTTTAGAGCTTGATCGATCAGCGTTCATCGATCGGTTCCGGTTTTGGTCTAGGGTTAAGAGTTTCAACGAGGAGGAAGATGATGAAAGGAGCTTAATTCAACTGGCAAACAAAGAGCGTATAGTGTTTTTATATATTAGTGGATGTGTTAGATACAGCTAAGGTACATAGCCAGCTTCATATTAAATAACTGTAGATTAGTTAATGTTTTACATTTGCGCTAATTTAATCTTTTAGTTTGTAAATGACCAAAATGTCTTTGCCCTAGATTTCTTTAACCAAGGTTGCGTGGGATTGGTGTGCAAAAATTACCATGTCGCTGCACCAAAGCTATAAAGTTATTATGAGAGTTTGCGCTGCTACATCCAAACTAAATTAAGTTATGGTGAGGGGGATATCTTCTTTCTTTTATAAATATCTCTTTTGAAAATTTTTGGTTAGTAAATTTCGAACATGAATTGCTAGCTCTGGTATCATGTCAGATATCATGCATGCCACTACACCAAAACATCTGATGAGCGCGGAGGTTATAATTTTATATTCAAACATGTCTTGAACGCTTTCCTATCTTTTCGGTCAATATATACATGCAAAAGCTTCTACTATATATTAACGAGGCACTAATAAGGGGACAAATAAAAAACTAACCTTGTGCAATGACAGCAACAACCTTGTCGCCGATATGTCCCATATAACCTAGGGCAAAAGCTTAAGAACCAAAGTGCAATCCCTCTCCGTAGTTCTTAGAAACTAACTTCAACTAAAGCTCTATGGCTACTTTCACTTTTATTTACTAATTATATGTACTACGGTTATAACCTCATTATAAAGGAAAAGGATTTAAGTACTTTTGTACATTTAAAAAATAATAAAAACTCAAATTTGGACTCGGGTAAGGATCAGATTAGCATCTAGCTAGGGATGTAGACCAGCAATTGTCACGATTCAAATACAAGTTAACTTGTCAGCCTAATTGACAAGTATATTAGGCCTGTCCATCCGGGCCGGTCCGGCCCGGAAATCCGGGCCTGGGCCGGGCAAAACCGGAGCCCGAACCCGGGCCCAACCGGGCCGGGCTCCGGGTCGGCCCGAATTTTTTTTAATTTTTTTTTTCTTTTTTTTTTGATAAAAAATGCTAAAAATTAGTTTAAATTTATTATATTTTATATAATTATGTATTAGTATATACTTATAAATTATTATGTAACTATATATTATATATACATATATTATATATATTATATATACATATATTATATGTAAATATATTATATATATTTATAATCTATAACTTCAATCAAACTAGTACATATATAAGAGAGAGTATACTTATATATACATATATACTAAGAGAGAGAGTATATATATATACACACACACATATTATACATATATAAGAGAGTGTATACCTATATATACTTATATAAGAGAGAGTATACATATATAAAAGAGAGTATACTTATATATACATGTATAGTATAAGAAAGAGTATATATATACATACATACATTATACATATATAAGAGAGAGTATATATACACACACATATTATACATATATAGAAATATATTATATATACATATATTATATATATACATATATTATACATATATAAAAATATATTATATATACATATATAGTACATATAAAAAATAAAATAAATAAATAAAAAACACTATTCCGGGCCGGGCACCAAAAAGGCGGCCCGGCCCGGAGCCCGGACTTGGCCCGGGTTTCCGGGCCGGGCTCCGGGCTGGGCCCGGGTTTCCGGGCCGGGCTCCGGGCCGGGCCCGGGCCGGCGGGCTTTTTGAACACCCCTAAGTATATACAAATGCTAGAGTGTTCAACTGTTGAAGTTGATGTGGGCTACGAAAATTAGTTATCCTTAAGACATTCTCACTAATTGTGTATCAAGTTGAGTAGTGAAGATATTAACACAATAACACCTATTGATTCTTTTGGGCTCCTTCTCCTTCTACTCATCTCGCGTATTACTTAATGTATTTTATTTCTTCATCGAAATCCAGTTCATTTACGATAAATAAAAATCACATTATGTTTTGTTTTATCGAATCGAAGTAGAAATTTCACCTCATAACTTTACTTCATATTAAAAAAAAAGTTTGCAAAACAATAATTTAACTTGTAAATCTACAACTATACAACTCATAAGAACTTGCTTAGAAAGAAAGCTTCAAATTAAAATTAAAACCATCATTAATCTAACTACTAAAATTGACCTTGTAAGAGATCGAGGGCATACAAGTAATTTACAAGTACAACCTCCAAAATTTAAAAACGTAGGAGTCGTTTTCCTGAAAATATCGGAGGTTGAGTTTGCATGGGCTCGTGGAAATCACTTGGCGTTTTCACTCTGTCCTTTTCCCTACTTCCCCCAAATATACTTCCAAAAAGTCCACAAGAGAGAGCCCTTCCTCACAATAAACCCTCCCTTTTCTTATAATTTTTTTTATTTATAAATCCAAAGTTTTTATCTTGATTTATTAATTTTATACCCACCTACTTTTAAAGTCACTCTGAAACTCAAAATAATTATATTACATTATTTTTAAACCAAACTATATATAGCCACTGAATTGAAACACTAAATATAACAACTTTTGGCCTCAAATTTAGATCGCACGTCAATATAACTAAAAGTTGATTTAAAATTAATTCAGTACTGATTTTAAAAGTGAGTGGATTTTAAAAAATAAACCGATCGAGATAAACTTTGTGTTTAATAAAAATAAAAATCATTTTATTAACATGTTATATCTTATTTTCTATTGTCACGCACCCTTGCTGCCGCCCCTTGGAGTGCTCGATATGATCTACAGTGTTTTACAGGGGCATTCTCGGTATTCCTTGCACACGTTCTCTATACCTAGCTGGTTGCCACGTGGCGACACTCTGGATTTTAACACTGGCTGGTTACAACTGTTTGATGAAATGCTCTTCGCATTGCAAGCATCCCTAGGTTTGCTGTCACCTGGAATATGCTATTTAGGAGTTGTTGTGCAGATATGAGTGTGTTTGATCATGAGCTGGTGACTTTCATGCTTTTGTATTGGAATTTGCTACAATTGTCATTAGTGATGAATTAAAGGATTCTATGGCATCATCAAGTTATAGAGTTTTTGAACAAGGTCATGACTAGTAGTTTTGCGTCTAGACTTTGATAAAAACGAAGTCTGGAGCAGTCCAATTTACTGCGACGTAAAGGACTAATTTAATGCGATGCAAGGGATTTTAAGATGGTAACGGAGCAGGTTGAGGTCCAATTTGATGTAATATAAGGGACTTTAAGATGATAACAGAGCAGTCCAATTTTAAATCTTACTTCTCAGTTCAAATATCAATCCTAAATTTGCACTGTTTGGTAATGGATAAAATTGCAATATTTCAAATTTCTTCTAGATTTGTAATTATATTTTCTCTTTTCTATATTAAACATATTTTTCTCTTTCTTTTTCTTTCTTTGTTGGATATCCAAATGAATGTGTCATCTATACCATAGTGCTGTTAGCACAGCTTGCATTAGTTGCATGTAATTAAGAAGTTATAAGCTATTTTCATTAAAATAAATTATGAAAGAATGGAATACTTAATGTTGACTTGTTTATCTTTGGAAAAGCCCTAGGCCCATACCCAGATAGAAGCCTATACTTATTTGCTCAAGAATAGATAGATTTAAGAGCAAGTGCACCAAGCTCCCACCGCCGTTCTCAAGGCCTACGTGGCGGTGGGAGCTCTTAAACCCCCCTCCAACAAACTCTCAGTAAGCTCTCAAGGGGCTCCCTGGGCTGATGTGGCCAGTGGGGCCCACCAGAGCTCTTGGGAGCTCCTAAGCGCTCCACAAATTTGTGGAGCGCTTGGGAGCTCCCAAGCATTAAAAAAAAAAAATTTTACAAAAACCCCCCTACTTTTAAACCCAAGCCTTAAAGAAATATTTTTTTTTACGAAAAAGTCTTTGGCATTTGTATCTTTGCAATAGAAGTGAGGTTTTTTTTGATAGAAGGGGATTTTTTTTGATATTGTTGGAGCTCCAACTAGGAGCTTGTTGGAGCTCCATAAAATAAGGAGGTGCTACTAAGGCTTATTTTTATAATTTTTTATTTCAAAATGCTTGAGAGCTCTTGAGAGCTTGCTGACTAGGACTCCCAACTGGGAGCTTGATGCACTTGCTCTAAGGACTAGACATGGTTTACAGGGAATAGTTCAGCCCAGTAGCGTAGGTTAAATATAACAAAATTCAACTTCAAAAAATGCTAGTAAACTTTTAGGAGAAGAAAAAGAAAAAAGAAAAAAGAAAAAAGAAAAAAGAAAAGAAAAGAAAAGAAAACATACCTTAAGATACAGATGCTCGCAAAACCATAACAATCTGTATAAAGTTTTATTTCACCTTTGATGATAACTAGTTTCAGACCCGTGCGATGCACGGATTTGTCAATATTTTTCCACATAGAAAAATGTCATTAAGGGCTCTTGAAAAAAGTAACACATGAACTGTTCTTGAAGAAGAGTAAAAGAGTAGACATGTCAGTGTTCAATAAAATCATAAACGGTTCTTGTTAAAATAAAATAGAGTAGATATTCAGTAATATTCATAAGAAGAAAAGTTTTGAAGCAACAATCATTAAAATTGTTCAATAATTAATCTCAATTAAAGAAAAATGAATAAATATTCAAGCAATATTCAATCAGATTCACTTACACATGCTATATAGTTTCTGTCAAGATTCAAAACTTAGGGAACAATCCAAAAGAACAGTGGGCTGCAATGTTTCCAAACAACTCTTTAACCATGCAACAATTATAAAATAACCCCTGTTTAAATAATATACCAATATCTAGAAAAGCTACAACATATAAAAGATTAGCTTAATTAGGTGTCATTTGTTTAAATCTTAAAAAATAAATATACCAAAAAAATCTTCAGCATATCTAATAGGGTATACTTCATTATCCAGAGAGTAAATCATAAATATAGTTTATAATATATAGAGATTAAACTATCTCTAGAAAT